CGGGTTCCAGACGGGAGGACCCCGGGCACGCGAGGGCTGTCACTGTTCGGAGGCGCCCCAGGCGCCCCTCCGGAGTCCGGGCTCTCCTCCCCCGGGCCGGTGGGCGGCGAGGGCAGGGTCCTGGCCCGCCCCGAGGCTCGGCTCTGTGGCCGGGTGGGGATGCCTGGGCGAGTTGGGAAACCTTTATTGGTAACGTGGAGCCGGAGGGCTGGTGCTCGGGAACCGAACGTGGGCTCCCCGGAGCCTCTCGCTTGGAGGCAGGGGCGCGCGGGACAAAGCGTCCTTCCCGAGGCGTCGGGACACTTGCTCCTCGGCTCTGGGTCGCCGACGGCCCCGCTGCGCTGCTGGCGCACCAGCCAGGCCGGGGGAGCTTGGAAAAGCAGAGTCGGACCCGGAGGAGGTTCGGTCCAGCGCGCAGGTGGCGGGCGGGCAAGCTGGGGCGCGCAGGCAGGCCGTCGGTGGGGCACCGGTGGACAGTCTCAGGGCGGGCAGTCTCGAGGGCAGGGGCTCATCCTGGGGGTGCCGCACCTGGAGGAGATCTTGGGCCACAGCTCCGGGACCACCACCTCATGACCGTTCTGCAGCCTCAGGCTCCCGCGTGCGGCGGCACATGCCTCGCTGGAGGCAGCTGCCAGGTGGAAGGGCTGGGCGGTGGGTGGGAGGCGGGTTGGGGGATAGTTCAAGCTGTGTGGATCCTTGCCTGGAATGCCAGGGCGAGCTAGGTCCGGCGGTAGGCTCAAAGCATTTCGGTGACAGCGTGCACTTGGCTCACTCCAGATGCTATTTTAGCTCCAGCTTTTCTGAGAGGGGTTCGGAGTGGCGGGTGGAGGGTAGGGCAAGAGCCTTTTATACTGCTCGCCGTCCACCTCCCAACTCCTGTTTCCTCCCTCCCACCTCCCCTGCGCCAGCCCAGGCTTTCCCTCCACTTGAGGCATCTAGGAGAGCCCCGACTGCAAATGTCCAAGTCCTTCCTGCACCTTGGTCCTCAGGGTAGGGGGCTGGATCCTCATGATTCTTTCGTGGTTGTTGGGGGAGAGAAAGAATGAAAAGAAAACTTTCTCCCAGTTTGTTCCCCCTTTCTGCCATCCACCTCCCTGTTCCAGAAACTAACGTAAGATTCTTAAATCAACTTCCTTTCTCAGTCTTTCCTAAGGCACGTAAGCCAAACTTTACCGAAATTAAGACAGGAAACACTTTCACCATTTTGAAAGTTCCTCGGGTCATCTTGGCATTTTGCAGATTTTAAATAGAGGTGATTAAGGAGAGGAATGCTGACTGGTTTGTTTAGGAGGGACGTGGGGGAAGACTAACTGTACTTTTAAAGGTACCTTGAACATCTTTAAAATTCTAACCAGCCCTAGCATCTTTTAATAAATGAGGAGTGGGGACGAGGGGTGCTGTGTTGGAAGAAATATTTACTTTCGATGCCTATGCTCTGGTCCTGGGTCCTGTAGAGCATGCTTTCACAATCTCCAGCCTCACAAATGCCAATAATTGTCAAATGAAGCTCTGGGGAAGAATCTAAAACAATAGACCTTCCTTGATTCAGATGGGAGATCAAAGAAGATCTCTCAAATCCCACAAGGATCATCGTGTCAATTTTCTAATTAGGATCACTTTAAAAAGGGAGAGGGCAGGGTTTCAGTACAGGGGTCTTAATTTAATTATGTATAAATTAAGATGGCAAAGTAGAATCCTGTAGACAGAGCTAGTTTAAGGAAAGTTTCCCTTTATCAGTGACCTCAGATTATCCTGTGGCCTCACAAGGAAAAATGTCTTCTTTATTGCCTGGGGCAGGTTGGTCTAAATTGGAATTTGGGGCTGCTGCTATGTCTTACTTTACATAGCCCACAGTCATTACATGTGAGTTCCAACAGCCTCTCCTCTCATGAAGAATATTTGGTTGTAAGGAAAATTAATTTTTTAAAAACCTTTGAAAATTCTGGCAATCAGAATGAGTTCTTATCAATTTTAAAATAGAAAGCCAAGGATCAAAGTATCTGTAAAATATTGCAAATACCTTTATAAAATGTTAAAAAGATACAAGAATGGATACTATTAGGGGAGCTTATTTTCCTATAAGCATACATATCCTGGGTGGTGTAAATGGTTAATGATGCTTAACAAACATTTTTTTAACCAGAAAGTTGCTGGTTGGAGTCCCCCCAGAGGTGCCTTGGAAGAAAGGTCTGGTGATCTACTTCCAAAAAGTTAGCCACTGAAACTCTATGGAGTACAGTTCTAGTCTGACAGACGAAGGGTCACCATAAGTTAGAATTGACTGCACGGCAATTGGTGAGGCACACATAATTATTTTTGATAAACATCCATACCCTACCCCAACCAGCTTTTGAGAAGTTAGGGAAAGCTTGAATTTTTTGTGGGAAAAGGATTACAAATTTAATAACCGAAGTAAATTTAGATCCAAGTATATTTATGAGATCAGCACCAATGACTGGTAAAAGTTTTTAAAAGTCTACTTCCTTTTTCAAAAGTTCTCATAGTACCTTATTTATATATTTTTATTGATTGATACCACTAAGACGTAGTGGACTATGTCTGCAAGTCCCTGTTCCCTCCAGACCTAAATGACTTTTGTGGAGCATTCTAGAGGCCTCCAGTAAATTCTCATTCTTGGGTTCACAGCTACAGGACCTTTTCTGGCAGCACTGGTGTACTGTATAGATAGGGTTGTGAAGCACTCCCTCACTTCCTGGTCTAGACATAGACCTGCTGAGTGGTCATCTACAGAGACTCTCTCCTTTCTACCTAACAGAGAACCCAGAGGAGGAAGGAATTCAAACTCCCAAGTTGCTGCTCAAAAAAAGAGCTATCAGACCAGGAATAACTGCATTTATTAGTCACACACAAGTGAGAAATAAAATTTTGTTGACCAAAGTCTCTGTGATTTTACGATGTTTGCTACAGCAGCTAGTGTTACTACTCTGACTTCTGGACAGGGCTGCTTGCCTAATTATCATGATATTTCTATAGTTGCGTGCAATGTTTTGCATAGTGTTTGATGGATGTAATAAACATAGCTTTTAAAATGTGTTGTTGTTAGTTGCCATAAGTTAGCCGTGACTCTTCATGATGTCCTAGACTGATGTCCCTGTGCAAATGGAACAAAATGCTATCTATACCATTTGTTTGATTTTAGATTTCTAGGCCTTTCTTCTTAGCCTGGAAGCTGCGCTGAAACATGTTCAGCATAATAGCAACACACAAACCTACACTGAAAGATGGGTAGGCGCTACACATGAAGTACATAGATCATAAAAAAATTCCCAACAGTTCTATTGACATATAATCCAAATATCATACAACTCAATAGTTCAATCACATCAAGATGAGTTTTACATTCATCACCACAATTGCTTTTAGAACATTTCCTTCATTCTGGTATTCATCATTATTAATTCGCCTCCCCACTCCCCAACCTGCCTTGCCATACCCCCAACTCTAACTCACTGGCATGGGGTCAATGCTAACCCATAACAACCCCCTGTGGGTTTCTGAGACAGTAACTCTTTACTGCAATAGAAAGCCAGCCTCTCCTACAGAGCTGCTAGTGGTTTTGAACTCTTGACTGTGTGGGTCAATTAATTTATATATACATGGTTTTACCTTAGAGACATTGTTATTTCATGTCAGAGAACATTCCTGGGGCACCACTTCCAAATCAAGTTGATACTGACTCAAGATAGAACTCTAGAACTGCCTCTGCCTCTCTGAGTCTGAAAATCTTCACAGGGATAGAAAGCCTCATTTTTCCCTTTCAGAGCTAGCTGGTGGTTTCAAAGTGCTGACCCTGTGGTTAGCAGCACAATGCATGACCATTATAAATTAATAGCGTCATTTATTTAGCCAACTGTATAGAATTTAAAACACTGTTAAGAAAAGAAGAAAAGTAGTGGGGAAGAAAGCTGATGGTGCCCGGCTATGAAAAAGTATAGCGTCTGGGGTCTTAAAGGCTTGAAGATAAACAAGCGGCCATCAAGCTCAAAAGCAACAAAGCCCACATGGAAGAAGCACACCAGCCTGTGTGATCACGAGGTGTCGAGGGGATCAGTTATAAGGCATCATCAGAACAAAAATCTTACCATAGTGAATGATGGGGGGAGTGCGGGGTGGAGACCCAAAGCCGATCTGTAAGCCACTGGACATCCCCTTGCAGAGGGGTCTCGGGGAGGAGACAGCCAGTCAGGGTGCGATGTAGCAATGATGAAAAATACAACTTTCCTAAATGCTTCCTCCCCGCACC